CTTATTGATATTGGCTTTTCTGGTGATAATTTAACTTGGCATTGTAGGCATTTATGGCAAAGATTAGATCGTGTTTTATTTAATGATTTTTGGTTGCATTCTTTTGATTCTACTAATGTTAAACGTCTGAGCAGGACCATCTCGAATCACTCTCCTCTTCTCATTAAAATTAAGCCTAGATTGACAGATGTGTCTTCTCAATTTAGGTTTCAAAACATGTGGTTACTTCATGATAATTTTATGAACATGGTGAAGAATAACTAGATTGCCCCTTTACATCTAGATAACAATATTTCTGGTATGTGTATATTGTGTTACAAACTGAAAAGACTTACATTTGTTTTGAACTGGTGGAATCATAATGTGTTTAAGAATCTTTTTTCTAACATTTTAATTGTGAAGGATAAAGTTAATTGCCAGGAATCTCAATGCCAATTATTTCCTTATGAGGCTAACTTTTGTCTTCTAAGGGAGGCTAAAGATGAGCTTTACAAATTACAAGATCAAGAGGAAATGTTTTGGAAGAAAAAAGTGGCTCTTAAATATCTTGTTGAAGGGGACAACAATACTAAATATTTCCATGCTTTAGTTAAGAGGAAGTGAAATATTAATTGTATTCATAAAATTTAGCGGGTTGATGGTTCTATTACTGAAGATGACACTGAAATTGCTAGCTTAGCCGTTCAACATTTTCAAAATCACCTAAATAAAATTTCAATCCTTCTACTATTCATAATCCTAATATTATTCTGTCTCTTATTTCTAATGAGAATAATATTTTCTTGTCTAAAACCCCTTCGTTGGAGGAGGTTAAAGACACTGTTTTTGGTATGAATTCAGAGTCGGTTGCTGAACCTGCTGGTTTCACCTCGAAGTTTTTCCAAAAAACTTGGCATATCAATGGTAATGATTTATTTTCTGCTGTTCTAGATTTTTTTGATGGTAATGCTATACTTAAATTTTTCACTGCTACTTATATTGTGCTTATTCCTAAAAATAATTTTGGCTCTACTTGGAATGATTTTAGGCCTATTAGTCTTTGCACCCATTATAAGTTGTCACTAAATTTATGATGAATCGTTTATCTAATTTCTTTCCTAAACTGATTTCTCCTTTCCAAATGGGTTTTGTTAAAGGTTGTTCCATTACTGATAACATTCTTTTGGCTCATAAGTTTTGTCATGATTTGGATGCCAAAGTGAGAGGTGGTAATATGATTTTGAAACTTGATATTGCTAAGGCTTATGATAATATCACTTGGAATTTTCTTTATGATATTATGAAGTTATTTGGTTTTGATTTTAAGTTTATCAATCTCATTAAGCTTTGTATTGAAAGTCCTTATTTCTCTATAATTGTTAATGATAAATCTAATGGTTTCTTTAAGGCTTCTCATGGTCTGAGACATGGTGATCCCATTTCTCCAGCCCTTTTTATTATTGTGGCTGATTACCTTTCTAGAGGCTTGGCTGGTCTCTTTGAAAAGCTTCCCAGCTTGTATTTAAAACTATTGTTGGTTTTTATATATCTCACTTATGCTTTGCAGATAACTTTATTAATTTTACTAATGCCTCTTTAAATAGGATTAGCCAATTGTTGAAGTTTTTTAAACAATTTGAATTGTAGAGTGGCTTGGCCCTTAATCGTCAAAAATGTGCTTTATTTCTACTAAGAAAGTTCCCTTGGATCGTATTATGGATATTAAAAACTTAACTGGTTTCAGTCATGTTGGTTTACTCTTAAAGTACCTTGGTGTGCCTCTTTATAAGGGTGGGAAAAATCTTATCTTTTTGATGATTTAATTTCGGTTGTGCAAAAAAAACTTTTATCTTAGGATTCTAACTTTCTTATTTTTGGTGGTAGATTTACTCTTATTAAAAGTGTCCTTTATTTTATCCCTATTTATAGCTATCAAACTTTACTTCCTACTCGGCTGGGTGTAATAGGCTTGAGAAAATTATTAATAAATTCTTTTGGAAAGGGACTTATAGCAGTTCTAAAATCCACTGGTCTTCCTTGAATAAATATTGTGCCACTTTAGATGAAGGGGCTCTGGGTTGTAAGTCTTTGAATGATTTGGCGTTGTCTTTTTCTTTTAAATTGTGGTATAATTTGCGTGCTAATGTGAGCCTTTGGGCTAATTTTATGAATGTGAAGTATTATGGGGAGAAGCACCCCACCATGTGTTGTTTTAGTAAAGCTAACTCTAAAGTTTGGCAGCGTCTTTACAACATTAAATGGGCGGTTGAGCCATCTATCTGCTAGGGTCTGGGTAGTGATAATATTTTCTTTTGGCAAGATAGTTGGTTAAGTTGAAATTTCATTGATTCTATTTTTAATTCTTCTTCCAATGCTTCTGTGAAGGTTAATTATTTTCTTATAGATAATGGTTGGGATATTGAGAAACACTCTAATGTTTTGCCTAATTTTATTGTTCAGCAAATTTTTCATATCCCTTTAAATATAAACACTCTTGATGTTCAGATTTGTGCCTTAAATAGAGATGGTAAATTTTATTTAAAGGGCACCTGACATTCCTTTAGAACTATGAAAGAAGCTTCTAATATTTTCAAAATGTTATGGCATCAAAGTATTCTTTCTACGGTTTCTATTTTTGTTTGGCGGATTTTACATAATTCCCTACTGATGACAATTTGATGAAACGTGGTTTCATTCTTCCTTCTAAATGCCAATGTTGTTATCATTTGGATAATATGCACCATATTTTTATCTCTGGCCCTTGTGATGTTAAGGACTAGACTTATTTTGAGGATATTTTGCAGTTAAATTGCTTCAATCCTAAGGTTTTTATTTATGATTTATTGAATTTCTAGTTAGTTAATTCCAGAGGTCATATCAGGAATGTTATCTCTTATCTTATCCTTTGGTTCTTATGGTTGGATAGGAATAATTACCGTTATAATGGTGTGGTTATGAATCATCATAGGATTATTCTAAATGTGAAAGATAAAATTAGGGACCTTTTTTCTGCTAAGTTATTATCTACTAAGAACTTCAATAAGTATCACACTACTGCTACTGATTTTGGGATTAATCTTGATGTGGATAACGGTCAAAAGGTTCCCAAAAGTATTCTTTGGCTTAAACCTCGTGATAATTTTTTAAGTTAAATGTGGATGGTTTTTTCAACAAGTCTATGGTTGGCTGTGGTGGAGTCATCAGGGACTCCAATGCTAATTGCATTCTTGGATTTGCGGGTCCTATTTATAATGGTGATGTTATTACTGCTACTACTTTAGCTTTCCTCTATGATTTAAGGTTGTGTTTCTCTCATGACTGCATTAATATTATGGTGGAAGTTAGCTCTTCTTATTTCTTCCAATCCTTTATCTTTAGGAATGACAATAATTGTTCTTCTAATTTGTTTTACATGAGGAGGAATATTCAGATGGTGTTGAGCATGCTTAATTTCTCCTTTTTGACTATTGAGGGGAATGGTAATTCTTGTGTTAAAGACATGGCTAGGTGGGGTTGTGCTTTGGACTCTATGAAGGATTTTTGTGTTTCTAATATTCTTCTTCCGGTTAGGGGCCTGTTAAAACTAGACAAACATTGTGTTCCTTATGTTAATTTTAAGGTGGTGGTAACTGCTATTTTTTTGTAGTATTATTGTTATTTGCTTAGGGACTTTTTTGGTTGGTTGGTTGGTTGTTATTTTTACTGGTTTACCTTGGTTTTTTGTTTCTCTACCCTTGCTGAAGCTTTTTACTGCTAGTTTTTCTACAACCTGATGTTCTAGGATGGCTATGTGTTTCAGCTGCCTGCTGTGTTGTTGCAGGTGATGGGAGCTTATTGATATGTTATGACCTGCCACTTATTGGAATTATGTTGGCTTGCGTTTGTGGTTGGGTTTGGTTATTTAGATCATGGATCCCCTAGTTTTTTCTCAGCCTGCCCTTTATAATCTTCTTCTTGGGTTGTATAATTGGTTTATCAACTGTTGGATTATCAAACAGTATACATGTTGGCCTGTTTGTCTTAACTTTGGTGGTAATTGTGACATTCATTGCTGCTATAGCCGATTTTTGTTCTATTTTTACTGCTTTTATTGTGTTTGTGTTTATTACTTTGTTTTGCAGAGTGTTTTCCTTGGAGGTGATCGTGCTATTGAGCGAAGCAGGAGGATTGTGGATCTGGATATTAATTTTTGTACCTTTATGGTATTTTGGGTGCTCGCTCTTATGCACCATAGAATGTACCTAAAATTTGGTGTACTTTCGAGCTTGTATGTTTTTTTACTTTTAATTTTGTAGCTCTTCGAAGCAATAGAGAGCTTGTGTTTCCTTAAGGACTTTGTAATCGTTATTTTATATTAACGCGTAGGCCCCTTCATGGATTTCTCCTACAAATTTTTTTTTTTTTTTTTTATGAACACATACAATTAGGTCTATAATCAGAATTGTATATATCATTCACATCATCAAATAATTTATCCTTAGTGCTTGCACCCAACCTTAACGATTTGCCTTCACATTCTATGATGAAATTAAGATTTTAATATTAAGAAATGAGTACAATAAATTATGCTTTTGTTTAGATATACATCTAAAATAAATTATAAAATTAATATATAATTTTATGAAAGAAATACGTCTATAATCCTTGAAAGGCGGTATGTTTCATAATTTTATATTAAGGTACAAATACAAGAAGAAAATAAGCGATATAACTCAAAGGGGGAAAAACAAGAAAATGATTTTTAATTATTAATTATTATTATTGTTGAAACGGTGAAATTACACTACTTTAAATTTATCTGCGCATTGTGTATTGTTTCACATAAACCTAAGAGACCCAGAGATTAGCCCTAACCCTCAATTTAATTTTGGGCCAATAACATAATTTATGATCAATGTGAACTAGTAAGCACATTAACGAGTTAGATTCGAACCGGCTCAACTCACCTATAGATAGACGTGGAGTGAAATACTTATAGAAGAAAAACAACACACAACCAAGTATAATAGGCTTCACGCGATGTTAACAAAATTATAACACATCCAAAACATCATTGATCTTAGTGCTGTCATTGCCAGCATTCCTAATCTTAAAGTTGAGTACTAATGCGTCACCCATGATACTAAACAAAAACAATAAGTTCAACAAAAAAAGGGACTGAGTTGTGGCAAAGTTTTAATTTTCAGTGTCTTCACGATCAGAGCCACGTTTACTTTCCCCAGGAGTGTTCATCCGAGAATTTCTCTTGGTAGGCACAAGGATGTTCTCCTCATCAGCAACTGCCAATGGCAGGTCACACCCATGTTTACGGAAGACCGGATGAATGTAAGCATCTTGGAGGTAAGTTTTCAGGTTAAAGTTCGGCTCGGTAGCTCGCTCTAATGTGTCCTTCACCATTGCATCCTGCAGTGGCATATGAAAACAGATCATAATTTTCATATATGTTACTAACGTCTAACGGGTAATGCAGAAGAAACTAAATAATAAATAAAAAAATTTCGATGCATGCAAGCAATGTAAGGGCCCATTTACTAGCTTTTAGACGAAAGCAAGTTGTTGAAAATGATAAAATTTTCCAGATTTACATCATTTTTATTGAAAGAAATAGAAATCAGGATGAGCTTTTCAAACTCCTCAAAACTGACGAAATCTTACATTTTGCTATCTATCTATGGTCACCAAATGGACACCAAGAAGAATCAAAAAGCAAAAAACACCTGCTTTTTCAAGCAAATCCCTTGTTTCATATGTATGTACTGATTTTGAGAGAGCCAGAATAAATAAAGACATGATTTATGGGGACATGTTGCTCTCAAATGACAATATCTGAGAATAGACACGTAGAAAATAGTCATTAGAATCTGTGGCATTTTATAGTCAAGGTATCCGCACCATCATGATCACCATATAACTTAATGGATACCCAAAATCCCACTAATGGGAACTTTCTCACAAGTAATCATAGATTTTTGGCATTATATTTTGCTACAAGTTTTGTGTATGCTAACATGTACCTTTTCAAGTATTCAACTGGTAGTCAATGTCTAATGCATGCATATCAACAATACGCAGATGCACCATGCATAATTAAAATAACATGCAAATATATCGTGCATGTACCAAATAAAACATGCAAAATACATTGAGCATGCACCATACAACATACAAAAATATCATGCAAGCACTTCAAGAAATGCACAAATGCATACACAAACACATAAATACGCATACAAACATACAAATGTAAATGCACTATGTTGACCACTCAAATGCATCATGCTAGTTGAGGAAAATGTATTATTCTCCTCATGCAAAGCATCATTCCAATCGTCTAGATGCATTACATCAAGCATGCAAATGTGTAATGCCAATCACACAAATGCATTATGCAAATTATCTAATAAGTATATTGTGCATTATGAAGATCATACAAAATGCTTTAGTCATTCTACAAATGCATCATGTAAATGCATTGAAAAGCATGCATCATATTTAACATGAATTTAAATTTTTTTTATGGGCCCCGACAGTGCAATAAGTATACAAGTGTGACATCTGAAGATGCAGCGTGGACCCCAACAAATGATAAATGAATTTAAAAATATATCATTTTGAAAAATGTAGAAACGTATTATGCAAATGCACCAACGTGCATACACATCATAATGAAATTTAAATTACGCGCTTGTGTTCCGACCGCTATGCTAAATTTTCAAACATGAGACCAGGAATATTGCGTGGGTCAAAAGTTAACCTAAGTTCAAGTCTGATCCTCCTCGAATGGACCTGAATTAACACGACTTAAACCACCAAACCAATACACGGTCGTAGCGTCGATTGGAGTATTTGATTTTATACTTTCACATTAGGCCTTTAAAGCCTCTTGTAAAAAAGGTTCACTTAATAACACAAATTCTTCGAACTAATGCTCATTGAATTAACCAGATTATTTAATTTTACACGTTTGCATTAGGCTTTCAAGGCCTCTTATAAGAATGATTTACTCAGTAAAGTACAAAGTCTCCGGACTAATGCTCGTTGAATTAACCATATTATTTAATTTTATACGTTCACATGAGAACTTCAAGGCCTCTTATAAGAAATGTTTACTCATTCAAAATATAAATTCTCAAAAATATTGCTCATTAAATCGACCGGAATATTCAAGTTTATGTATTTTATTAGACTGTTAAGGTCTCTTAAAAAGAAAATTCACTTATTAAAATATATACTCTTGGTTCCAGTATTTATACAACCTTAAAAGTTAAAGCCGAACCTATTCCTCTGTAGTAAGCAAACACAGTCAACAAAGTTCAAATAATGAAAGGAAATTACTCATAAATTTCGATAATGGACATGTTGAAAGTTAATCTAAGCCGAAGGGGCCTCTAGCTTTTAAATACACTAAATCTCAAATTAACTATTAAGGGATCTAACTTTAATAAAATTCAAAACTTAAAAATCACTAAAACTTAAAATATTCAAGATGAAATTTATTACCCAATGACTTAAAATAAATCCTTCGCAGTAGTTTGTTGAGGAGGATAAATTTGAGTATAATTTCAGCTCACAAAGAACGAATGTCATGTCAGGTGTATCACTATGATTTATTCTCAAGCTATCTCTCGCCAGTAAGGAAGTTGTAAGTATCATTTAAACTCTTAAGTAGTGAATCATATGATATACTTGATAAATCACAAAGCCCTATGCTAGTTGTGGTCACTCAAATTTGTCCATTTAGGCAAACATTCACTGAAGTTTCTAAGGCACCTTGGACAACACAACCCATAGTTGCTGAGAAGGATTCGTCACAGGTTGGGTCAACTATCTCGTCTGACTAAGTGGATTAATAGTCTGAAATGACAAAATATTGGGATCTTGATTGGGCAAGTCATCATTCCCCCATCACCCACATTAAGCCTATGGTGATAAATTCAAATCTTAAAAACTCCCAAATCCAATTTTAAAATTCTAAAATTGTTGCTACTATATACTGGATACTTTGTGTCTATCTAACAGTTATCCTTAATCGAAAGTGTTGTCTCGTTATCGAGATGGATAATTAACTATAGGGATTTGCACAAATAGAAAGCCACACCTCAAATCATAAAGTCCTCGTGAAATGAGGGTGATATCTCTGGGTGGTGTTTTATTTAAAATTCAATCTGCCTTTTGAAAATTTATCGCGTAATTTAAACTCGTAAAAACTCTCCCATTGACAAAAAAGGCGCGAAGAGTTTGGGATGTAAATTTTTACATCCCACAAGAACATTTGCAAAGGGCCACCATTAGATCATTAGCGCACTCACTTTGTAAATTGGGAATAAACATTTCAATGAAGAGCTTATCCCCATGTAATTGCGATTGGGGGGTATTTCTAGGAAGCAGGAGGTGAACAAATATTGAAATGTTAGTCACATCTACATTAAATGCCCAGGTTTTGCTCATCCTTTCATAATTACCTTAAGATATAACATCTTTCTTCTAATTTGCCCCGATGAATGGTCATCAACTAACATGTATGCTCACTTTCCCTTGAGCAGTAGACCACATAACTCGCCGAAAAGCCTCACTTATAAGAAAATGTCAAATTGAACAAAGTCATCACTCAACAACTAAAGTATGAACTCACCACTCGACACACAAACCATGAACTTTCCATTCAAAGGAAGATAAATAACTTGCCATAAATAAAATAAGAGCAAATAATACAAAATTATTCGCGAGGTAGACGACGAGAAGACAAAAGGAACTAACATTCGTTACTTGGAGTTGACACTTGCAGTCGCTAGAGACACGAAAGGGCCCAATGAAGATTGTTTCTTTTTTTGGTGTCGTAGAAGCCAAAGGGGGACGAAAGGGTGGGTTTTTCATTTCGTGAGGTGGACGAGGAGCTTCCGCCGATTGGATTCATAGAGCTTATTTCTATAAAAATCGAGAGAGGGAGGGAGGGTGAGAGGGTGAGAGAGAGAGAGAGAGAGAGAGAGAGAGAGAGAGAGAGAGAGAGAGAACAAGCTTGATGGGTAGGGAAAGCTAGAGTCACGTGTAAGGAAAGAAGTTAACGGAATTTTTTTAGTATATATTTTATTTAATTTATAAATTAAGAAATTTAATTTAGAAAATACTTTTGTGAAAGGAAAATTAATTTTCTTAGAAAATTAAAGTTCAATTTATAGAGATAATTGCTATCTATTTCAAGACTTTATTGATAATCTCATATAATTAATTAAAAGTATTAAATCAATGTTTAAATTCTGAAATAATTAATATTAAAATTACTTAGAAAATAGTAATAAATAGATTATGATTTTGTTATCCATTTTAAATGATAGAAAGAAGAATAAAATTTATCATTTATTAAATTATTTTTAAAATAAATTAAATATAAAAGTTATTTAAGCATATTGAATAGCTAGTTAAAGAGATATTTATAAGATTTTAGATTTATAAAATATTTAAATTATGGAAGGTAATTTAAAATATTAAAAGTAAAGAATATTTGAGCTAGAGAAATTCAGAACAATTTATTATTTAAATTTTAACGATGAGGTCTTTATAGGTATTAAACCTTCCATCAACAGAGTAAAGAGTAAGAACGAAACTTTTAAAGCATACACATTAAGATGAGTATTCATAGTCCTATATTATGATAATTGTATTGTTTCTAATTGCATTTAATTGTTATTGCAAATGATTTATCTCTCGCATATCAAATGATTGAGCATGATTAGCATCTTATGTTTTATATTATTGCATAAAGTTATATGAATGAAATGGCCAGATAGATATGCTTGCATGTGCATACTGACTGATGGAGGATACCCCTTTATGGTACTGGTTGAGGATGCAATGTACCCGTGCATGTAAATTGAAAAGGTTATAGAAAAATATAAGGGAAATGAAAAAGGAGTAACTTTATTTGTACTATTTTAGACGGAGACTCCTGTAACGATTGTATATTTATAAGAAAGGTAAAAATATGAATAAATATATGATATTTGCATAACATTGAAAGTCTTGAAATGAAATGATTAAATAGAATTAACTTATGCATTAAAATGATTATGCATACTATTCCAAATGCCTTGGTTAATGTACTTTAGAAGCATGATTTACTCATTGAGTTCTTTTATGACTCTCTTAAATTCATAAATGAACAAGTATTATTCAAAGCATAAATAAGTAAAATAGGTGACAATGTATACCATAGGCGAGACACTCCAAATAAAAGGTATTTATATAATTTGTATTTCAAATTATTTTGAGGTTTTAATAGCAGCTCTTTCATAATTTTTATTTGGAATAGTTTTAGAAAAGGAAAATTTAATTAACCATGCATCCGATCGTCTGTTTCTGCCTCATTAATCCAAGTCTCTAGGCCGGGTCATGACAAGACATAATCTATTCTAAATATTTCAAATAATCTTTTTTTACCTTTTTTGGGGAGTAGACAACTCGACTCCTATAGAGGTCACCTGACCTTTGTGGATGCTGACTCTGCTGGACATGCTAGAAGGATAGGCCTTATCAACCTCATAATTAGCAGTTCATCCTCAGAATTAGAAAAGAGCATCACCCTCCCTAGACTCGTCGCATTTACACCCCCAATTACAATCTCAAGGGGTCCACAATCTTGGTTGGTAGGAGCACTCACCCTTTTGTCAGTTCTCTCAAGGGGCCCATAGTCTTGTCAATCTTGTAGTTAATGGTTCATCCTCAGAACTAGAAAAGAGCATTAATCTCCCTAGACTCTCCATATTTACACCCTAGTTGCAATCTCAAGGGGCCCAATTTCAACACACCTGACTCTACCTTTAACCTCTTTACAAAGGGAGGGGTGATTGACCCAGTGGATCACTATATAGTCTGAGGGCAATCATCCTCTGACAGTTGAAGGGGCACTCTCCTTTTCATCAATTCTCTCGCCTTTGGAGAGGAGAATTGCTTCCTTCCTCACTAAATTAGTGCTTGAAATTACTAATTCAGTAGGAACCATTTTATCACACTCATAGAGCACTACAATTCAACTAAACTGTTCACAAAAGTGAAAAGCTCTGGCATAGGACTATTTCTTATAGGAGTTGATAATGAGTGGTACCCTCACGAGGAATCTAAATGACAACCAAGACCACAGCAAAAACAAGACAATATCTTCGTATTTATTTTCCTGTAACAATTTGGTAGCCCTATTAAAGCTCACTATTATTTCACTTATCCTTTTCTTCACTTTCCCTTCAAAGACTCAAGTGAATTAGAAAATTATATACTCGTGTATGTCTTTACAGCTATTCAACAAGTAGATGATGAGTTATATTAGGTGATTAACTCATAAATACCACAAATAGAACTCGCCTAGGGTTATCGAGGCCAAACGAAGCAGGAAAATAAAAGGGGAGTCGCCTCCCATAAGAACATCCTAGGGTTCCTATGGACTATCCAACTCGTCACTCACCGCTTTAATATGAACCAACCATCAAAGCCACTCGTCTCTATCTATGGTGGAATGTAGCCAACCATATAAATCATCTTAGTTATAGGAAGGAATCTTTACAAGAGGGTTCCACTCACCAACCATAGCCCACTATGCTCAAGTCTCATTAGCAAACTCACTCATTGCTACTACTCACCAATACACACTTGGCACTTAGGAATGTGGCCCAAGACAGAGCAACAAAAGTGATAGATGTAATCATCCATCCATTTAACTTGGGTGTGACACATGTCTAAGATAGTCTGTATCGAAGGTCATTAATCATTATACTTTTTATTTCTTTATTAATGTAGCATTTATTGCCGCCCTCACATCCCTATAAATAAAGATGAAAATGAGCAGTTGGGATCTTTTGGCATTGTTCATAAAGACTTGAGATAGTAAATCATTTCATATAGAGTTATTTCCCCTATAGTTCTATCTCTCTTTCTCTCTCTCACTCCATTCTCACAAAAGTTCTCAAGTCATACTCTCATTCAATATTTTGTTTAAATATATAGGAATAATAAACTTGGATTCTAAAACAATATTATGCTAAAAAGTAAAAACTGTATCTTCATAAGCTTATCAGATTTTTCAAACGTACCTGAAGTGGAAACTTCACAAATGCTGGTTCAAACCGATGTTTGCAATAGATGTGGAACCAAATCGTTAATACTGGAAGTGCAAGGAGCACTGGAGTAGAGTTGGCAGCGTTCATTGTGCTTATCAAACCCAGAAGTAACAGCTGCGCTATTACCATTGCAGTTATCACACGTCTCTGAACATCCGGCCAGAATGCAGCTCCACTCTCATATTCTTGGTTGTACACATTTATAATCTAGAAAAAGCATACAGAACTTTCAATTTATCAACACCTGTCGGTAGATATTATAGAAATTGTATGATGGAGTAAATTCCCAATTTGAAGAATGCAATTCTGCAGTAATATTGTCCGTCTTGCCCAAGATTGAATTCATTAGAAAAAAAAGAGACATCTTATTTAGAAAAAGGGAAAAACTCGTTTCAATATGGAAGTTAAAAAGTACAAACCATAGAAGTTTATGTCCCCTTATAAATAGAATTCAAACCTAGCCGGATGATTCTTATAATGGGCTTCGTGATCAAAATAAAACAAAATGTAAAATTTTGGCGGAAGTAAAGTTCAAGCAACTTGGTATGTGATCAGTCTTTTATTCATCAACAGCATGGATTTTGTTTCTATCTCGATAGTATCTGTCTCTATCTCACACTATGAATCCAAACCTAACTGAAAATGTTAACGAGTGAATGGTGAGTCCACCCACAATTAACTCCAAACCGCTAAATTCTATTGTATCAATCCACTTAAAAGCATTAAACTTATTGCTTTTTAAAATAGAAAAGTCATCCCAAACGAAGCCTTAGTAAGAGAAGAAAGAATGGAAAAGCATAAACAATAATATTTTAAAAGAGAAACAGCTCAACCATTAGTGAAATCTTTAATCATGACCATTGATAACAGTCAAATAGCTGAACTCTTACTATGAATATCAGCAGCTATAGTATATGCGCATAAAATCAATCTCTCTAGTGGAAACCTTCGTAAATTGTTATTGAAGTACTCAGTTCAAATACTGACTACATCAATAAATCCTCACCACTCCCATGGACAAGAAAGGATATATATACGGGGATCAACAGTACATGGGAATGTGCATGAATATCTTTGTGCTTTCCAATGGAATTGCATTCATTTTATTTTAACAAAAAAATCTTATGAAAAGAACAAGAGAATTATAAGCAAAGCCTATTTAGTATAGTGTTCAGCATATATTATACATGGTTCATACTTGTAATTAGTGATGAATGATGAAAGTTGCAAGGAATGAATTAGGTTTACGAAAGACCATAAAAATTTTTGAATGCAATATATTAAGATAAAAAGAAATGATAAAAAGTACCTGATGACGGAAAACAAGATATGACAATCCGAAGAAGATAACAATGAAAGGAAGAAAGAATGGTGTAATAACTGAATAGACAAGCCCAAGCAAGAAGTATAATTGAATTCTAGGCTCAGCCGTGGCATAACCCAAACTCCCAGGATCCATTGCCTGTTCTCTGTCCTTTTCAGTTTTAACTAAGAAGGCATTTTTCAAATGAAAAACGATCAATGGTTTTATTCTAAGAATCTCTGCAGCAATGCCTGCCCAGCCATCAACCATGATATATGTAATGAAAAATGTTGCTTTCATAGGAATGGAGACGCCAATAGTTACAGGAACTCTGCAAAAGAGTAAAAATTCAAATTAAAATCAATTAAACGACATAAACCAGGATCCAGGGAAAAGATTTCTGTAGATTGACCTTTAATACATATTTGATAGAAAATTTGAATTTCTTATATGGAGAACGTCTAGAAGCATAGAAGCATTGGGACTTCATTATGCCATTGGAAGAGGTGAAATAAATGTGAATATGGGCCTGAGGAGCAACAGATCAGACGCCCTATTGAAACCTACATGATCATGAGTTTGAATATGAAAGCAACCTCTCTATTCTGTAAGAAGGCATAAATCAAACGTTTCCCTAACCTTTGCAATGGCAGAAAGACTCATGCATTGGATACCTCGTTTATAATCGTCTGACAGTGTCAGTTCTATCTGAAGGATGAAAAGCAGTAACATGAAAAACCTACTAATGCATGGTTTGGGGGGGAGGATATGACACATAATCTTATCATTACACTATAGGAAACCGGGATTGTCAATCAACAATGAAAATAACTAACCACTCTTTTAGGCCCACCCTTTAATTCAAAGATCTATGCTCATCCTCTAATTCAAAGATCTATGCTAATAAAATTAACAATAAAAGCTCCTCAATAAAAAGAGTAACCGCCTTCTTTCAATATGCAACCTTCAAAATTTGATGAGAGAAGTTATCTTATTTCTAATTTTCGATTAATCATTTGATCCCTTTCCTTGCTCATGAGCACATCTACCCTAACCCAATGTATCCCAAACCAACACTCCAAACCAGAATGATAGTGATGGTGGTGGTAATAAATGGTATGATTTCAGTTCCCCCTTGGCATTTTCATCCCAATATCTCAGCAAGTAAAATGAAACTCCTTTGATGATATACTATCTTCAAGTTTAGAAAAAAATTAATTTATGAATATATCTATGAAGAATTAAGCAAGCCTAGCTGTTCCATAAAACTAATCTGAATGACATACAAAAATAAAAAATCAGCAATAATACAACATAGAATATTCAACATGTAACATATGATATATGAAGATGCCCAACTTACTCGCTAGCAGATTCATGGAGCAAAGCATTAAGGTTTTGAAATGCAGTTCCCGTAATTATGCTTCCGAGAAAAACATTAACCAAGATGAAAAGGTAGTACTTCCCGGCAGATCTCCTCTCCAGCGATGACAGTGATGTGAAACCTTCTATCTTAGACATAGTCATAAGAATTGTTGGAAGGATAATAAGAAAGATCTTTAGAGCGATTCCCGGTAGAAAACCTTGAACGAATGACTTGATTGTACGGCTGGAAAAACAATTTTAGCAGGTAAAGCTTGAATTTCACTAATGAATAAATCGAAACTTTTCATTAAAAAAAAAAACCCTCCAAAATAAATTTGTACATACACAGACACGTTCATGCTTGAATTTTGAATGCTGATAATGAACTATCAAAAACTTCTCATCATTATATATATATATGTACATACACAGACGTAATTTAATAATTGATCAATCAATATAATAGATGATTACATGGTAAAAAGTATGATAGGTTTAGTTAAATTCATCATGCAAAGAAATAAGAATGTAGAGTATGCTATAAATTGAAGAACTAAAGTTGAGTGGACAAGGACTTGTTTGGCTTGGTGATAAGGGCTTGTTTAGCTTTGTGAAAAAAATTAAAGTTCTACACTCTAATATGTGGGTACCGGAAACACTGAAAGACTAGCTGAGCTTGCGACAAAAGAGCTCGACCAAGATATGCCCAACTCAGAAGAGCTGGCACTCAATGCAGTTAAGCTTGCCCAAGAGAAGTTCAACTAAAGAAGCACACACCCCATATAGGTTTGATTGACATAGTAACTCACCTCAGCGACAGCAACCCAAAGAGGTACTCACCTAATGAGAAATTATCCTAAAGAAAAAGTCACCCCATCCAAGGCTCTCTCAGAAGGTCCCTCATCTAAGCGCGTTATAGGAGATGTACACCTACCAACTCCACACTATGACCTCACCAGTCATGCTAGAGTTCCTGATTCAAAGGAACCCGCCAAGGGCACCTACCTAAGATATTAAAATGAAAGAACTCGCTCAAAATAACATCTATTTGCATTTGATTTCTCTAAATCAATAAATATCATATTTCATAAAATATGACTAAAATTTTTGAAATTAAAACTAAAATTATTTTTTTTTAATAAGGAAATGTTTAATAAAATTTTTTAGAAAAATTATAATTACTTGAAAATTATATTTAATAAATGTTTAATTAAAAATAACTAAAATACTCTTATATTTAACACCATTAACTCCAACATTAGATGTTAGTATAAAAAATTTTTCATTTTAAAGAGTTGAAACACTATTTTGATTCCTCAAAAAGACTTGAGGAATCATTTTGATCATTTTCTCTCACATTTTGATGAGGACATCCGACCTTGGAGAGTTTACTAGAGACGAAGCCGATAATCTACAGCTATGATTGCATCAATTTAATTTTGAGTGATTATATGTATTTAATTTATTTATGCATTTTTTGGTTTCTACCATCACTTGATGGAATAGTTATTTGTGACCCTTAGGGGCATTTGTGTATTTTATTTCGTCATTGTAAACATTAGCTGTTTATATCCCCTCCTCTCCTTTGGAGAGGGTAGTAAAGATTATTAAGAAAATTTCAGCAATTATCTCTTGTGTGTTTTGAGAGAAAGCTTTGGTGAGAACCCCAGGTGAGGGCAATGGATTACCCACCACCCGCAGGAAGCGCCCAGGCTTGTGGTTAACTTTCTTCCTCCGTTTTCCCTCCTTCCCCAACCGCAGGCCAAATCCCCTCTAGAAGCCATCAGCCAAGCCCTTCCACTCCTAACCGCCAGCCACCTAAAGCCCCTCATCCCTCACCGTCGACTAAGCCAACCACAAATCCCACCGCCACCTAAAACCCAATCCTAATCCTAGTCGCCACCAAAACCTTAACCCTAATTCTAGCCACCGGCCACCCTAAACCTCGGCCCCCAATCCCCTTTGCCTCCAAAATTCAAATCCCCCATTTAACACTTTCCATTTATTAGACATCTTAAATTAGGAAAGTTCTCAAAATTCAAATTTAAATTAATTTGAATTTGAAATCCTTTCTTAAAATAGGATAACTTTTTTTAAGAAACTTTCCTTTATCCTCACAATCAAATTAATTGGAAATCTATCATAATTTTCCTTTCCTTCTTTACTAATTCAAGTTTGAAAACTCACTAAAACCTCTCACATCATCTCCCCTCTCCTTACCCGCCGACCTAACCACCACCACCACCCCCCCCCCCCCCCC